GTGGGGGACGACTAAATATAGTCTGTCGTTCACTTTCTGAGCGACGGTTCGGTTTAACTCTCTGTCTACGGACGGAGAGGAACCCGAAGGAGGCTACGCCGAAGGGCGGAGTCTCCTTCGGGGAGGTAAAACTGGCCCAGAACCCGTTTATACGGGTTCAAATGGGCTATTTTTGGCCGAGCCTAATGGCTCGGAAATTCCCACGTTAAAAAGGCCTTGTGCCACATGACGCCCCTCGTGGGGGACGACTAAATATAGTCTGTCGTTCACTTTCTGAGCGACGGTTCGGTTTAACTCTCTGTCTACGGACGGAGAGGAACCCGAAGGAGGCTACGCCGAAGGGCGGAGTCTCCTTCGGGGAGGTAAAACCGGCCCAGAACCCGTTTATACGGGTTCAAATGGGCTATTTTTTTGGCCGAGCCTAATGGCTCGGAAATGCCCACGTTAAAAAGGCCTTGTGCCACATGACGCCCTCCCTGGGGGACGACTAAATATAGTCTGTCGTTCACTTTCTGAGCGAACGGTTCGGTTTAACTCTCTGCTGTCTTCGGGCGGGGAGGAACCCGAAGGAGGCTACGCCGAAGGGCGGAGTCTCCTTCGGGGAGGTAAACCGGCCCTGAAACCCGTTTATACCAGAACCCGTTTATACGACGGTTCAAATGGTCGTTCACTTTCTGAGCGACGGTTCGGCCGAGCCTAATGGCGGAGTCTCCTTCGGGAAAATGCCCCTGAACCCGTTTAAAAGGCCTTGTGCCCACATGACCTTGCCCATGACGCCCTCGGGGGGGACGATTAAATATAGTCTGTCGTTCACTTTCTGAGCGACGGTTCGGTTTAACTCTCTGTCTACGGACGGAGGGAACCCGAAGGAGGCTACGCCGAAGGGCGGAGTCTCCTTCGGGGAGGTAAAACTGGCCCAGAACCCGTTTATACGGGTTCAAATGGGCTATTTTTTTGGCCGAGCCTAATGGCTCGGAAATTCCCACGTTAAAAAGGCCTTGTGCCACATGACGCCCTCGTGGGGGACGACTAAATATAGTCTGTCGTTCACTTTCACTGAGCGAACGGTTCGGTTTAACTCTCTGCTTTCGGGCGGGAGGAACCCGAAGGAGGCTACGCCGAAGGGCGGAGTCTCCTTCGGGGAGGTAAATTGGCCCTGAACCCGTTTATACGGGTTCAAATGGGCTATTTTTTGGCCGAGCCTAATGGCTCGGGAATTCCCACGTTAAAAAGGCCTTGTGCCACATGACGCCCTCGTGGGGGGACGACTAAATATAGTCTGTCGTTCACTTTCTGAGCGAACGGTTCGGTTTAACTCTCTGCTTTCGGGCGGGAGGAACCCGAAGGAGGCTACGCCGAAGGGCGGAGTCTCCTTCGGGGAGGTAAAACCGGCCCTGAACCCGTTTATACGGGTTCAAATGGGCTATTTTTTGGCCGAGCCTAATGGCTCGGAAATGCCCACGTTAAAAAGGCCTTGTGCCACATGACGCCCTCGTGGGGGGACGACTAAATATAGTCTGTCGTTCACTTTCTGAGCGAACGGTTCGGTTTAACTCTCTGCTTTCGGGCGGGAGGAACCCGAAGGAGGCTACGCCGAAGGGCGGAGTCTCCTTCGGGGAGGTAAAAACTCGGCCCTGAACCCGTTTATACGGGTTCAAATGGGCTATTTTTTAATGGCCGCCGAGGCCTAATGGCTCGGGAATAGTCCCACGTTAAAAAGGCCTTGTGCCACATGACGCCCTCGTGGGGGTGACGGCTAAATATTAAAAAGGCCTTGTGCAGATGACTGAGTCTGTCGTTCACTTTCTGAGCGACGGTTCGGTTCAACTCTCTGTCTACGGACGGAGGGAACCCGAAGGAGGCTACGCCGAAGGGCGGAGTCTCCTTCGGGGAGGTAAATTGGCCCTGAACCCGTTTATACGGGTTCAAATGGGCTATTTTTGGCCGAGCCTAATGGCTCGGAAATGCCCACGTTAAAAAGGCCTTGTGCCACATGACGCCCTCGTGGGGACGACTAAATATAGTCTGTCGTTCACTTTCTGAGCGACGGTTCGGTTCAACTCTCTGTCTACGGACGGAGGGAACCCGAAGGAGGCTACGCCGAAGGGCGGAGTCTCCTTCGGGAGGTAAAACCGGCCCTGAACCCGTTTATACGGGTTCAAATGGGCTATTTTTTGCCGAGCCTAATGGCTCCGGGAATGCCCACGTTAAAAAGGCCTTGTGCCACATGACGCCCTCGTGGGGGACGACTAAATATAGTCTGTCGTTCACTTTCTGAGCGAACGGTTCGGTTTAACTCTCTGTCTTCGGGCGGGAGGAACCCGAAGGAGGCTACGCCGAAGGGCGGAGTCTCCTTCGGGAGGTTAAACCGGCCCTGAACCCGTTTATACGGGTTCAAATGGGCTATTTTTGGCCGAGCCTAATGGCTCCCTTCATGAAATGCCCACGTTAAAAAGGCCTTGTGCCACGTGACGCCCTCGTGGGGGACGACTAAATATAGTCTGTCGTTCACTTTCTGAGCGACGGTTCGGTTCAACTCTCTGTCTACGGACGGGGAGGAACCCGAAGGAGGCTACGCCGAAGGGCGGAGTCTCCTTCGGGGAGGTAAAACCGGCCCTGAACCCGTTTATACGGGTTCAAATGGGCTATTTTATGGCCGAGCCTAATGGCTCGGGAATGCCCACGTTAAAAAGGCCTTGTGCCACATGACGCCCTCGTAGGGGGACGACTAAATATAGTCTGTCGTTCACTTTCTGAGCGACGGTTCGGTTCAACTCTCTGTCTACGGACGGAGAGGAACCCGAAGGAGGCTACGCCGAAGGGCGGAGTCTCCTTCGGGAGGTAAAATCGGCCCATGAACCCGTTTATACGGGTTCAAATGGGCTATTTTTTGGCCGAGCCTAATGGCTCGGGAATGCCCACGTTAAAAAGGCCTTGTTCCATATGACGCCCTCGTGGGGGGACGACTAAATATAGTCTGTCGTTCACTTTCTGAGCGACGGTTCGGTTCAACTCTCTGTCTACGGACGGAGAGGAACCCGAAGGAGGCTACGCCGAAGGGCGGAGTCTCCTTCGGGGAGGTAAATACGGGTCGGCCCTGAACCCGTTTATACGGGTTCAAATGGGCTATTTTTGGCCGAGCCTAATGGCTCGGAAATGCCCCCACGTTAAAAAGGCCTTGTGCCACATGACGCCCTCGTGGGGGACGACTAAATATAGTCTGTCGTTCACTTTCTGAGCGACGGTTCGGTTCAACTCTCTGTCTACGGACGGAGAGGAACCCGAAGGAGGCTACGCTACGCCGGAGTCTCCTTCGGGAGGTAAATGGAGGAACCCGTTTAAAACCGACCCTGAACCCGTTTATAATGGTTCAAAAAGGCCTTGTGCCACATGACGCCCTCGTTGGGGGACGACTAAATATAGTCAGTCGCTCAATTTTGAACAGACTGCTCGGTTGAACTCTCTTCCTAAGAAGAAGAAGAAGAAGAAATTGAACATGAGTACATTTTTTATATCCTTTTTTTCCCGCTTGAACATCACAGGCTTTCTTTATAATCTATTTTCTTTTTTCTTAAATTACGATCAACGACTTGCTAAGAAAAGTTGTGCCAGTCTAATTTTTCACTTAGGAAGGTTTGCCGTGAAATTCTCCTCTAGCTCCTATCCCACGAACGCAGGTATTCCCCAAGGCTCCATCCTAGGCCCTACTCTGTTCCTTGCCTTCATCAACGATCTCCCTGACGTCATAGATTCCCAAGTTGGCATCTACGCGGACGACATTTACTCCTGCCTCAAAACAAATCTAGTGTCGCCTGAAAAAACTAACATGGCCGTTCGTCTCGAAAAGGACCTCCAATCGGTTGTGAACTGGGGCAGGAATTTACTGGTTAACTTTGAGAAATCCACTGGAACCATCTCTGTAGAATATTAAGTGATAGACCTTTCTTTTTAAGGGCAGTGGGAAATGGAACAAAATATATTGTATGTTTATATGCTACAAAAATATAGCATATCTGAAGAAGGAATAAAATAAATATTTTGCAGTGGTAGTTGATTTAATAAAGTTCAACCTGTAAGCATTCATATTTGATAAAATTTGATTAAAAAGACAAACAAAAGCATTTGGTCTTGTGTAATGGTTAACGGCTCGGAATAAGAAATCGGAGAAATTTCGAGTTCGAATTCCTTTACTGTGTTATTTTAAAACTTATAGTAAATATTCGTTATATTTCCTTACGCGAAAATACCGTTGGGAAAATTATGACTACATCTCTTCTTTTAAAAAATAATACTCCTCAGCTATGGGTTGAATAGCATTTTTTTGACAGACTGGGTCCCCATATTAAATGGTCCATTGAGGTTTGGATTAACCAAACCAAATTTAACAGCAAAAAAAAAAATTTCAGAAATACTTTTACTGAAAGACATAAAAAGAATTTTTATTTTAGCAAAAAAAAAAAAAATCCATTCCAAAATTAAACTTCATCATTTACTGAAATATAAAATCCTCTAGTAAATAGTTTTAATTGGTGGTGGTGTTCTGTTTTCTCCTCTTCCTCCTCCTTCTTCTTTTTCTCTTCTTCTTCTCCTTCTTCTTCTTTTATGTTTATTTCTTCTTCTTCTCCTCCTCCTGTCTTTCTGTACTTCTTCTCTTTGTTCTATTTTATATAGTTCACCCCTCCTTCATCTTCTCCTCAGGTGACGGTTTTCTTGAGCACTTAAAATTCTCTGTCCTTCTCTCCTCCCACAGAGGGAAATTAATAGGAATCCTGGCTTCTTCTGAGGACTCTCCTCCTTTTATAAGAAAACAACAGCTCTTTCTCCTCCCCTTATCCTTTCTCTATTTCTTCTTCTTCTCCCATTTTTTTCCTTCTTCTCCTCCTTCACTTATCATGAATAGTTCCCTCCCTTCATAAAATTTCTCTCATTTTTTTCTCTTTTAATTCTCTGTCTTTCTCTATTTTATGTATAGTTCACCCCCCTTCATCTTTGGCTCTTAGCATTTTTTTCTCTCTTCTTTTAATTATCTGTCTTTCTCTATTTTATGTATAGTTCACCCCTCCCTTCATCTTTTTTCTCTTATTTTTTCTTCTCTTACATTCAACAGGTAAGAGAGGCAGCCCATGTTGTGAGCTTTTGGCTTTTTTTTTTCTCTTTTAATTCTCTGTCTTTCTCTATTTTATGTATAGTTCACCCCTCCCTTCATCTTTGGCTCTTACATTTTTTTTTCTCTCTCTTTTTCAATTCTCTGTCTTTCTCTATTTTATTTTATGTATAGTTCACCCCTCCTTCATCTTTGGCTCTTACATTTTTTTTCTCTTTTTATTCTCTGTCTTTCTCTATTTCATGTATAGTTCACCCCTCCTTCATCTTTGGCTCTTACATTTTTTCTTCTCTCTTTTAATTCTCTGTCTTTTCTCTATTTTATGTATAGTTCACCTCCCTTCATCTTTGGCTCTTACATTTTTTTCTCTAGTTCTTTTTTGGCTATTTTATTATCTGTCTTTTTTTTTTCTCTATTTCATGTGTATAGTTCACCCTCCCTTCATCTTTGGCTCTTACATTTTTTTTCTCTCTTTTAATTCTCTGTCTTTCTCTATTTTATGTATAGTTCACCCCTCCCTTCATCTTTGGCTCTTACATTATTTTTCTCTCTTTTAATTCTCTGTCTTTCTCTATTTTATGTATAGTTCACCCCTCCCTTCATCTTTGGCTCTTACATTTTTTTTTCTCTTTTCTTTTAATTCTCTGTCTTTCTCTAATTTTGTCTTTCTCTATGTATAGTTCACCCCTCCCTTCATCTTTGGCTCTTACATTTTTTTTCTCTCTTTTAATTATCTGTCTTTCTCTATTTCATGTATAGTTCACCCCTCCCTTCATTTTTGGCTCTTACATTATTTTTCTCTCTTTTAATTCTCTGTCTTTCTCTATTTTATGTATAGTTCACCCTCCCTTCATCTTTTTTTTCTTTCTTAATTTTGTCTCTCTTTTAATTCTCTGTCTTTTTTTCTCTTTTAATTCTATTTTATGTATAGTTCACCCCTCCCTTCATTTTTGGCTCTTTATTTTTTCTTTTTTCTCTCTTTTAATTCTCTGTCTTTCTCTATTTTATGTATAGTTCACCCCCCTTCATCCCTTCATCTTTTGGCTCTTATTTCATTTTTTTTCTCTCTTTTTTTTTTCTCTTTTTAATTATCTGTCTTTCTCTATTTTATGTATAGTTCACCCCTCCCTTCATTTTTGGCTCTTACATTATTTTTTTTTCTTTTTTTATGTATTAATTTCATCTTTCTTTCTCTTTTTTTATGTATAGTTCACCCCTCCTTCATCTTTGGCTCTTACATTTTTTTTTTTTCTCTTTTAATTCTCTGTCTTTCTCTATTTTATGTATAGTTTTCACCCCCTCCCTTCATCTTTGGCTCTTACATTTTTTTTTTCTCTCTTTTAATTCTCTGTCTTTCTCTATTTCATGTATAGTTCACCCCTCCCTTCATTTTTTTCTCTTTTAATTATCTGCTCTTACATTATTTTTTCTCTCTTTTAATTCTCTGTCTTTCTCTATTTTATGTATAGTTCACCTCCCTTCATCTTTTGGCTCTTACATTTTTTTCTCTCTTTTAATTCTCTGTCTTTCTCTATTTCATGTATAGTTCACCCCTCCCTTCATTTTTTTCTCTTACATTTTTTTTCTCTCTTTTAATTCTCTGTCTTTCTCTATTTTATGTATAGTTCACCCTTCCCTTCATCTTTGGCTCTTACATTTTTTTTCTCTTTTAATTCTCTGTCTTTCTCTATTTCATGTATAGTTCACCCCTCCTTCATCTTTTTTTTCTCTTACATTATTTTTTTTCTCTCTTTTTTAATTCTCTGTCTTTCTCTATTTCATGTATAGTTCACCTTTGGCTCCCTCATCTTTGGCTCTTACATTATTTTCTCTCTTTTTTTCTCTTTTTTAATTCTCTGTCTTTCTCTATTTCATGTATAGTTCACCCCTCCCTTCATCTTTTTGGCTCTTACATTTTTTTTTCTTTTAATTCTCTGTCTTTCTTTAATTCTCTGTCTTTTTTCTCTTTTATTTCTGTCTTGTATAGTTCACCCCCTTCATCCTTCATTTTTTTTCTCTCTTTTAATTTCTGCTCTTTTTTATGTATAGTTCACCTCCCTTCATCTTTTGGCTCTTACATTTTTTTTTTCTCTGTCTTTCTTTAATTTTTTTTTCTCTCTTTAATTCTGTCTTTCTCCCTTCATCTTTTATTACATTTTTTTTTTTCTTTTATCTGTCTTTTCTCTATTTCATTTTATGTTCACCCCTCCTTCATTTTTTTAGTTCACCTCTCTTCACATTTTTTTTTCTCTTTTAATTATCTGTCTTTCTCTATTTTATGTATAGTTCATAGTTTTTGGCTCTTACCCTCTTTTAATTATCCTTTCTTTCATTTTTTTTTGGCTCTTACATTATTTTTTTTCTTACTCTTTTTCTCTTTTAATTCTCTGTCTTTCTCTATTTTATGTATAGTTCACCCCTCCCTTCATTTTTGGCTCTTACATTATTTTTCTCTCTTTTAATTCTCTGTCTTTCTCTATTTTATGTATAGTTCACCCCTCCCTTCATCTTTGGCTCTTACATTTTTTTTCTCTCTTTTAATTCTCTGTCTTTTCTTATTTCATGTATAGTTCACCCCTCCTTCATCTTTGGCTGTATTATCTGTCTTTTCTCTATTTTTTTGTATAGTTCACCCCCCCTTCATCTTTGGCTCTTACATTTTTTTCTCTTTTAATTCTCTGTCTTTCTCTTCTCTGTTTTATGTATAGTTCACCCCTCCCTTCATCTTTGGCTCTTACATTTTTTTTCTCTTTTAATTCTCTGTCTTTCTCTATTTTATGTATAGTTCACCCCTCCTTCATTCATTTTTTTTTTTTTTTAATTATCTGCTTTCTTATAGTTTTTTTCTCTTTTTTAATTCTCTAATTATCTGTCTTTCTCTATTTTCCTTCATCTTTTGGCTCTTTGTATAGTTCACCCCTCCCTTCATTTTTTTTATTTTGGCTCTTTCTCATTTCATTTTTCTCTTTTTGGCTTTAATTTTCTGTCTTTCTCTATTTTATGTATAGTTCACCCTCCCTTCATCTTTGGCTCTTACATTATTTTTCTCTCTTTTAATTATCTGTCTTTCTCTATTTCATGTATAGTTCACCCTCCTTCATCTTGGCTCTTTAATTCATTATTTTTTTTCTGTCTTTTTAATTCTCTGTTTTTTCTATTTTATGTATAGTTTCACCCCTCCCTTCATCTTTTGGCTCTTACATTTTTTTCTCTTTTAATTATCTGTCTTTCTCTATTTCATGTATAGTTCACCCCTCCCTTCATCTTTGGCTCTTACATTTTTTTTCTCTCTTTTAATTCTCTGTCTTTTAATTATCTCTTTCTCTATTTCATGTATAGTTCACCCCCCCCTTCATCTTTGGCTCTTACATTTTTTTTCTCTTTTTAATTCTCTGTCTTTCTCTATTTTTTATGTATAGTTCACCCCTCCTTCATCTTTGGCTCTTACATTTTTTTTTCTCTCTTTTAATTCTCTGTCTTTCTCTATTTCATGTATAGTTTCACCCCTCCTTTGGCTTCATCTTTTTAATTATCTGGCTCTTACATTTTTTCTCTCTTTTTTGGCTCTTGTATTTTTCTCTTTTTAATTCTATTTTTATGTATAGTTCACCCCTCCCTTCATCTTTTGGCTCTTACATTTTTTTTTCTCTCTTTTAATTCATCTGTCTTTTTTTTCTCTCTTTATTTCTGTATTTCAGTTTCACCTCCCTTCATTTTTTTTCTCTCTTTAATTCTCTGTCTTTCTCTATTTTATGTATAGTTCATTTTTTTGGCTCTCTTTTAATTCTCTGTCTTTCTCTATTTTATGTATAGTTCGCCCCTCTCTTCATCTTTGGCTCTTACATTTTTTTCTCTCTTTTAATTCTCTGTCTTTCTCTATTTCATGTATAGTTCACCCCTCCCTTCATCTTTGGCTCTTACATTTTTTTTCTCTCTTTTAATTCTCTGTCTTTCTCTATTTCATGTATAGTTCACCCCTCCCTTCATCTTTGGCTCTTACATTTTTTTTCTCTCTTTTAATTCTCTGTCTTTCTCTATTTTATGTATAGTTCACCCCTCCCTTCATCTTTGGCTCTTACATTTTTTTTCTCTCTTTTAATTATCTGTCTTTCTCTATTTCATGTATAGTTCACCCCTCCCTTCATCTTTGGCTCTTACATTATTTTTCTCTCTTTAATTCTCTGTTTTTCTATTTTCATGTATAATTCATCTTTTTTGTCTTTTTTTTTTCTAATTTCATGTATAGTTCACCCTCCCTTCATCTTTTGACTCTTATTTTTTCTCTCTTTTAATTATCTGTCTTTCTCTATTTCATGTATAGTTCACCCCTCCCTTCATTTTTTGGCTCTTACATTATTTTTTCTCTTTTAATTCTCTGTCTTTCTCTATTTTATGTATAGTTCACCCTCCCTTCATCTTTTGGCTCTTACATTTTTTTCTCTCTTTTAAATATCTGTCTTTCTCTATTTCATGTATAGTTTTAATTCTCCCTTCATCTTTTTTATCTTACATTTTTTTTCTCTCTTTTTTTTTCTCTGTCTTTCTCTATTTCATGTATAGTTCACCCCTCCCTTCATTTTTGGCTCTTACATTATTTTTCTCTCTTTTTTAATTCTCTGTCTTTTCTCTATTTCATGTATAGTTCACCCCTCCTTCATCTTTGGCTCTTACATTTTTTTCTCTTTTTAATTATCTGTCTTTCTTTATTTCATGTATAGTTCACCCTCCCTTCATCTTTTTTATGTATAGCTCTTACATTTTTTTTCTCTCTTTTAATTCTCTGTCTTTCTCTATTTCATGTATAGTTCACCCCTCCCTTCATCTTTGGCTCTTACATTATTTTTCTCTCTTTTAATTCTCTGTCTTTCTCTATTTTATGTATAGTTCACCCCTCCCTTCATCTTTGGCTCTTACATTTTTTTTCTCTCTTTTAATTCTCTGTCTTTCTCTATTTTATGTATAGTTCACCCTCCCTTCATTCATTTTTTTTTTTCTCTTTTTAATTATCTGTCTTTTTCTATTTTATTTTTCTCCTTCTTTTTGGCTCTTAATTATCTGTCTTTTTTAATTCTCTTTTTATGTATAGTTCACCCCTCCCTTCATCTTTTTTAATCTTACATTATTTTCTCTCTTTTAATTCTCTGTTTTCTCTATTTTATGTATAGTTCACCCCTCCCTTCATCTTTTGGCTCTTACATTTTTTTTTCTCTTTTTAATTCTCTGTCTTTCTCTATTTTATGTATAGTTCACCCCTCCCTTCATTTTTTGCTCTTACATTATTTTTTCTCTTTTAATTCTTTTTTCTCTATTTTTATCTATCTTTCATCTTTGGCTCTTACATTTTTTTTTCTCTTTTTTATGTATATTTTATGTATATTCCTCCCTTCATCTTTTTCTCTATTTTATGCTCTTACATTTTTTTTTTTTTCTCTTTTCTCTTTTTTTCTTCTCTGTCTTTTAATTCTCTCTTTCTCTATTTTATGTATAGTTCACCCCTCCCTTCATCTTTGGCTCTTACATTATTTTTCTCTCTTTTAATTATCTGTCTTTCTCTATTTTATGTATAGTTCACCCCTCCCTCCTTCATCTTTGGCTCTTTTAATTTTTTTTCTCTCTTTTAATTCTCTGTCTTTCTCTATTTTATGTATAGTTCACCCCTCCCTTCATCTTTTTGGCTCTTACATTTTTTTTTCTCTTTTAATTATCTGTCTTTCTCTATTTCATGTATAGTTCACCCCTCCTTCATCTTTTTTTAACTCTTACATTTTTTTTTCTCTCTTTTTAATTCTCTGTCTTTCTCTATTTCATGTATAGTTCACCCCCTTCATTTTGGCTCCCTTTTCTCTCTTTTTTTCTCTTTTTCTCATTATTTTTTTCTTCTTTTAATTCTCTGTCTTTCTCTATTTCATGTATAGTTCACCCCTTCCCTTCATTTTTTTTCTCTCTTTAATTCTCTGCTCTTTCTTCATTTTTTTTATTTTTTTCTCTCTTTTTAATTATCTGTCTTTCTCTATTTCATGTATAGTTCACCTCCCTTCATCTTTTTTCTCTTTCTTACATTTTTTTTTTTCTCTTTTTAATTCTCTGTCTTTCTCTATTTCATGTATAGTTCACCCTCCCTTCATCTTTTACATTTTTTTCTCTCTTTAATTATCTGTCTTACATTATTTTTCTCTCTTTTAATTCTCTGTCTTTTAATCTATTTTATGTATAGTTCACCCTCCCTCCCTTCATCTTTTGGCTCTTATTTCATTTTTTTTCTCTCTTTTAATTCTCTGTCTTTCTCTATTTTATGTATAGTTCACCCTCCCCTTCATTTTTGGCTCTTACATTATTTTTTCTCTCTTTTAATTATCTGTCTTTCTCTATTTTATGTATAGTTCACCCCTCCCTTCATCTTTTTTTGGCTCTTACATTATTTTTTTCTCTTTTAATTCTCTGTCTTTCTCTATTTTATGTATAGTTCACCCCCTCCCTTCATCTTTGGCTCTTACATTTTTTTTCTCTTTTTAATTCTCTGTCTTTCTCTATTTTATGTATAGTTCACCCTCCCTTCATTTTTTGGCTCTTACATTATTTTTTCTCTTTTTTAATTCTCTGTCTTTCTCTATTTTTTCTCTGTATAGTTCACCCCTCCCTTCATTTTTTGGCTCTTACATTATTTTTCTCTTTTAATTATCTGTCTTTCTCTATTTTATGTATAGTTCACCCCTCCCTTCATCTTTGGCTCTTACATTATTTTTTCTCTTTTTTTCTCTGTCTTTCTCTATTTTATGTATAGTTCTCTGTCTTTCTCTATTTTATTTCTCTATTTTATGTATAGTTCACCCTCCCTTCATTTTTGGCTCTTACATTATTTTTCTCTCTTTTAATTCTCTGTCTTTCTCTATTTTATGTATAGTTCACCCCTCCCTTCATCTTTGGCTCTTACATTTTTTTTCTCTTTTAATTCTCTGTCTTTCTCTATTTTATTTATAGTTCACCCCTCCCTTCATTTTTTCCCATTCATCTTTGGCTCTTACATTATTTTTCTCTCTTTTAATTATCTGTCTTTCTCTATTTTATGTATAGTTCACCCCTCCCTTCATCTTTGGCTCTTACATTTTTTTCTCTCTTTTAATTCTCTGTCTTTCTCTATTTTATGTATAGTTCACCCCTCCCTTCATCTTTGGCTCTTACATTTTTTTTCTCTTTTTAATTCTCTGTCTTTCTCTATTTTATGTATAGTTCACCCCTCCCTTCATCTTTGGCTCTTACATTTTTTTTTCTTTTTAATTCTCTGTCTTTCTCTATTTTATGTATAGTTCACCCTCCCTTCATCTTTTGGCTCTTATTTTATTATTTTTTTGGCATCTCTCTTTAATTCTCTGTCTTTCTCTATTTTATGTATAGTTCACCCTCCCTTCATCTTTTGGCTCTTACATTATTTTTCTCTTTTAATTCTTTTAATTCTCTGTTCTTTCTCTATTTTATTTATAGTTCACCCTCCCTTTCATCTTTTGGCTCTTACATTATTTTTTCTC